AGGGTGACATAGTGAGACTCTGACTCAAAAAAAAAAAAAAAAAAAAAAAAATTATTGTATTCCTAGGGTTTAACCTGCTTCATCCTATCATCAGGTAAAAACTAAAATTTGACTCAATACTATAATTACCTGTATTTTAAGGTATGGTAAATGATATTTAATAGCATTCATATGTTATGATAAATTTATTTAAACTCAAATTGGTTTTACTTCTTTTATAATTCTAAATTACTCAATAAATATCTAGGTAGAATTTTACTTCTGAAAAGTATACATGTACCTTACCTGTCAAAAAATTCACATAAATACTTACACTAAAAAGGTTCAACCTTTAGTAAAATCAAAACAATCTCACAGATAGTATCAATTATATTATATTTACTTGGCATTGCCTTACAAGATATAGAATACATGAAAATAATGATAGTTTTCTTACTTTCTAGCATTAAGGTATCCAGCCTTTCGGGTTAAATTCCGATTAACAGGAAATTTGGTGGGGTCTGGGTCAGGCATATATAAAGGGTCACTGGCTACTTCCAAATCCTCTATTGTCTGCTGCATTGTCTCTACATCACTGTCCATTTCCCTGCGAACACTAACAGAGAACAGATTACATGCTACCAATGGCAACCAACACAGAACTCCTTACCAATCACATTTACCTATATTATTTGTTTTGCACATATTTTCTCAAAAAAAGACACAGTGGCATGGGTGGTTAAAGCAACACAAATACATTTTGGTTTTTTTTGAGACGGAGTCTCACTACCTCACCCTGGGTAGAGTGCTGTGGCGTCACAGCTCACAGCAACCTCCAACTCTTGGGCTTAAGCGATTCTCTTGCCTCAGCCTCCCAAGCAGCTGGGACCACAGGTGCCCACCACAACACCTATTTTTTGTTGCAATTGACATTGTTGGTTAGCTGCTAGGGCTGGGCTCGAACCCACCACCTTCAGTGTATATGGATGGTGCCATAACCACTGTGCTATGGGTGCTGAGCCCACAAATACATTTTGAAACAGCTTTACATTTTATTTTAAACTTAAGATATTTTAGAAACAATACTAAATTCAAAACCTAATAATAGCAGTTGGGTCCAGTAGTTCACCTATAATCCCAGAACTTTAGGAGCCTAAGATGAAAGGATTGCTTGATGCCAGGAGTTTGAGATTCTATCTCTACAAAAAAAGTACAAAATTTAGCTGGGTGTAGTGGCATGCACCTCTATAGCTACTCAGAAGATTGAGATAGAAGAATCACTTGACCCAGGAGTTTGAGGCTAGAGTAAACTATGATTGCACCACTGAACTCTAGCCCAGGCAACAGATCAATTCTGTATCAAAATCAAAAACAAAAGCAGAAAACTGATAAAGCCATGGTGAATGCCTGACTTTAGAGGAATTTTCAAAGTGCTCTGTCTACCTTTAAAACAACAATCATTTTTGTCTCTCTCTACGCCTCAGTCTGGCCAGATCACTGTTCAGCCTTTTGAACCAGAAGAGAACTGCTTTCTCTTGTCCTGGGTTGGAAGCAAGATTTTGTAATCTTCCATCTAACCTTTACAATTTAGAGCTTAAATATAATTATCAGCTCAGCGCCTATAGTTCAAGAGGATAAGGCATCACAAACACCAGAGCTGGTGGGTTCAAATCCTGCCTGGGCCTGCCAAAAAAATGACAGCTACAACCAAAAAATAGCAAGGCATTGTGGTCGCTGCCTATAGTCCCAGCTACTTGGGAGGCTGAGGTAAGAGAATCACTTAAGCCCGGAGTTTGAGGTTGCTATGAGCTGTGATGCCACAGCACTCGACCCAGGGCAATAGCTTGAGGCTCTGTCTCAAAAAAATAAATAAATAAAAATATAATTATCACTTATGAATAATTTATCTTGTGTCTGTTATATTCAGACACAAGACTAAGTTTTTTTTGGGGGGGGGAGAATGGGACAGAGTTTCTCCCCACGTTGGTGCTGAGGGCCATGGCATCATAGCTCACAGCAACCTCAAACTCTTGGGCTCAAGCAATCCTCTTGCCTCAGCCTCCTAAGTAGGTAGGATTTAAAGGCCCTCATCATAATACTTGTCTATTTTTAGAGACAGGGTCTCGCTCTTACTTAAGCTGGTCTTGAACTCCTGAGCTTAAGCAGTCTACCTGCCTCAGCCACCCAGAGTGCTAGGATTATAGGCAAGACTAAGTTTAGAATCAATAAGATTACCATCAGAATTGACAATGTATTCAGAGTTCACATTCTATGGAAAAAATAATGAAAAAACCAAGAATCAATCATGGTAGATATTAAATATTATTAAATTATGGCATTTAGCTGTTAACTTGGCATTTATATCTTTCATTTTCAGTTTTAAAGATAAAATACTTACTTCTGTACACTTGTTCCAATATTTGCTAAAAATTCTTCCAGCTGTTTACTGAGATTTTCAGAACCCATCTTAAAGAAACTTATCTGGGTAGGTGAGAAGTAGGGGGTTGAACAACACAAATACACATTAAAAACATACTTAATCATATAAATGATATCCAAGATACATCGTTAAGTTAAAAAAAAAAGAGATTACTTCCATTTGTGTAAAAATAAGTTGTAGTTTGTGACTTCTATGGGTCATGAAGCCACTGAGGAAGCTAGACTTAAATTCCATTGAATATACTTTTATATTTTTTGAATCTTACAAGTAATATATATATATGATTAGTAATTTTATTTTATTTTATTTTGAGACAAAGCCTCAAGCTATAGCCCTGGGTATTGTGCCGTGACGTCACAGCTCACAGCAACCTCAAATTCCTGAGTTTAAGCGATTCTCTTGCCTCAGCCTCCCAAGTAGCTGGGACTACAGGCATCCACCACAACACCCGGCTATTTTTTGTTTGTAGTTGTCACTGTTTGGCAGGCCCAGGCCGGATTTGAACCTGCCAGCTCTGATGTATGTTGCTGGTGCCTTCGTCACTTGCACTATAGGCGCCACCTGATTAATAATTCTAATTGGAAAATAAATTTTAAAGCATTTCAAATAAATTATTCAAATAAACTATTACATGTTTTCTATAAAAATCAGTAATTTTTTTTTTTTTCAGTTGTTGGCCAGGGCTGGGTTTGAACCTGCCACCTCTGGTATATGGAGCTGGTGCCCTACTCCTTGAGCCATAGGCACCACCAAAAGATAAGTATATTTTATATCTGAAGAACAAGCACTCTTTTACCTGAGGGAATATTCAAATTTCTTTAAAATCCTAGATTTTTAAGAGCCTAATGTCTTGTCTATGTTACCCAAAACTTAATTTTCTAGTCTTCTTCCTGATGTACACCTGTTTGGGCACTTTGCAGTTCATCTATTATTTTTAACTCAGGAAGTGTTCAAGGAACATGAGGAAAATTCAAACTTATTCATTCTCTTTCAAATCTATTATGAAGCAAGAGTGATTAAAAGTTCCAGCAAGTTGTGTAACTCTGAAAGTCATTTAGCTTTCTGTTCCTTATCTCCAACTTTGGTGAACAAGGTGTAAATACAAGTGGTTTCATATTTGAATTCTTTAAAATCTTGAAATATTTGAAAATATTTGAAATCTTCATTTATAAGAAAGATCATAACTTCCATAAACTCATGTTCTAATGACATTTTTAAAATTACTATTGAAACACAAACACAGGCAAGGACGTTGACAAAAGTTTGTAACAGCCTTGCATTTAATGTAAATATCAAGATTTTAGAACAGTTACAATCCACAACAAAATACAGTACCTGAGCTTGCATGTACCCAAGAAGAGGTTCTAACAATGCTATTTTCTTCTTGTACTGAAGGGTATTTAATGCACAAAAATAATGCATCATGGTCTGGTGTTGTTTCTTTCTGGAAGTGTACACATCTTCTGTTACTTCATATTTCACCTTTGAATGAAAATATTAAAAATACTGTTATTTACTTAATTTTGTATTATCTTCAGTAGAGAATAGAGAAATGCCTACTCAAGGAAAATGGTATATCATGAGCAACTGAGCATAACTTTCCTGTTTTTTGATCTATTAGAAAACTTCCGCTCGGCGCCTGTGGCTCAAGCGGCTAAGGCGCTAGCCACATACACCTAAGGTGGCGGGTTCGAATCCCCAGCCTGGACCCGCCAAACAACAATGATGGCTGCAACCAAAAAATGGCCAGGTGTTGTGGCGGGTGCCTGTAGTCCCAGCTACTTGGGAGGCTGAGGCAGGAGACTCGCTTGAGCCCAGGAGTTTGAGGTTGCTGTGAGCGTGATGCCATGGCACTCTACCCAGGGGGATAGCTTGAGGCTCCGTCTCAAAAAAAGAAAGAAAGAAAACTTCAACATACTGGTCAACTACATCATTTGTACAATGCACATTAAAAACAGAATTATACACATAACTAAAAATGATTCATAACTAAACTAAGCATGGCAGAGAAAGCCTACCACATGGAGAAAAGGCAGACTATTACTAGCTTACCCTGTAGACTTTGACCTTAATCAAGTCACAGCATACCTCTCCACTCCTGTTCTCTTCCTATTACTAGTGCTTCCTGTCTTGTACTTGCTTGTCTCCCTTTATTCATACTTAAAATATGTGTGACCCCCTGAGTTCTTTTATTCAATCATCAAACATGTATTGAGCACCTATTATGCAATATGCCTTAGGCCATTCTATCTTCCTGCTTTCCTTAGAATTCTTCATCAAATACTATGAGCACTCTAGTATACCAATGACTCAATGACCATAATTCTTTTGTGCTGTGTATTTCCTTTATTTTCTTAGTGCTTTACCAACACTAAAACCATAAAGAACACAATTCCAAGTACTTTACTTTTTAAGTTTGGGGAGTTTACAGTCTACAGACTCATTTATTTATATTAAATAAGATTAACCTCATTCAAAACTTCCTACAGTTTTTAAATTCACATAAAAATAGAAATTGATGCAATTAAACAAAAATTTCAGGATCTTAGCTTTTAAATTCTTAGATTATAATTTTTTCTGCAAGGTGTAATTACCAGCTCCATAATTACCAATGGTTGTAGTTCAATTTAACTACATAAATTACAAACCTTTTTTACCTTTAGACAAAATGTTAAGTGAAAATTACAATTTCTTATCAAAAGGTTTAGGGTTTTCCAAGTTTCAAATATTTGCTTCCCCCCCCCCTCCTTTTAGTCAGACGCTTCAAATAAACTAAAATAACTACATCTCACCTGCAATATTCAATAATAGCAATAACCGGGGGCACAGTTAAAATTTTATACATCAAATGACCACAAATTTTTATCTCCTTCCCTTCACTTGCCCAAGTGCCAGAGGAAATGTATTTCCAGCTGGGTTCTTCATGTATGTGTTCATGTGCTAGAAATGAACAAAACTAAAGACAATTTCTTCCCCATAAAACCTCCCTTCTACTTTGTTTCTTAGCACTCTTAATGACTCTAGGATCCACACAGTCACCAAACAAATTTAGCACTCATTTTTAATTCTCCTCCTACCTTGAGTCTTGTCAATTCTACTTAAGAAATATCTCCCAAAAGTATTCTTCCTTTCCACTTCCAATTAACAGCCTTAGCTGAGACCTTTAGTATGTCTTTGCAAACTATGCCAACACCTTTTCATTGGATTACCTTTAGTCTTGTCCCCTTCACATTTGCACTAGTATTTTTGTCCTATAACACAATTTCATTGTGTTATTCGCCTACTTAGAATTCTTTGGTAGCTGCCCACTCCTTCTAACATAAATTTCAAGGTCATTAATATAGTACTCTGGCCCCTACTTCCTTCTTGTCCTTTCTGCAATAGCTCCTGAATACATTCTATGCTTCAGACATACTGATGGATTATCTTCCATCATCATCATTATAATTACTGCTAGAATTTATTGAAAACTTGCTATACACAGGATACTTTACATACATTCCCTCATTTCGCCCTCCCAACTACCGAGTTCTAGTGCAGCTCGGGCAAGTAAGTAGCAGAGGTAGAGCCAGTGTTCTCAACATTTACGTTTTCCCAACCCCACTATGTGCCTCTAGCACAGGCTGTTTTTCCTCTCAGGAACACCCTTTCTCCAATCCCAAACCAGTATATCTTCAATACAAATATCACCTCCTAAAAGTGTGATCTTTTCTAGTTTACCAGAGCTAACTGCTGCCCTCTTTGTGCTCTCTCCTCATTTTATTAAAGCCTCTGTTATTGCACTTAACTAATAATTAAGGCCTAGTTTTTTGTTTTTTTAAGATAGAGTCTTACTCTGTTGCCCAGTTTAGAGTGCCATGGCATCAGCCTAGTTCACATCAATCTCAAACTCCTGGGCTCCTGGGCTCAAACAATCCTCCTGCCTTAGCCCCTCAAGTAGCTGGGACTAGAGGCAGGGAGCAGTACCCTAGCTGCTCAGGCTGCTCTTTTTTTTTAATTTTGAAGGAGAGTTTCACTATGTTGCCCCGGGTAGAATGCCATGGCATCACAGCTCATAGCAACTCAAACTCTTGGGCTTAAGCGATTCTCTTACCTCAGCCTCCCTAGTACCTGGGACTACAGGTGCCCACCACAACTCCCAGCTATTTTTTGGTTGCAGTTGTCATTGTTATTTAGCAGGCCTGGGCCAGGCTTGAACCCACCAGCCTTGGTGGGATCTGGCTGGCACCCTACTCACTGAACTACGGGCACCAAGCCACTCAAGCTGCATTTAAACTCTGGAGCTTCAGGGATCCTCCAAACTTTGGCCTCAAGAGTGCTATGATTACATGCTTGAGCCACAGTACCCAGCTATAAGAGAGTTAATCTATCCCTTCCCTTCAACCTTGCACTCCTGCACCTAGTTCAGCTGCGTATCTTCACACAGGAAGCCTTCAACAAATGTGGAGGATCCACTCCTAGAGGGCAGAATGAAGCCTACTCACATTGTTCCTGTAAGGTCCTTAACATACTGATTGATAAATAATAGGTCCCTAATAAATTTTTTAAATGAAATTAAATTGGTGAAAGAATGTTTTTTTAAAATACTTGCCACAGCCAAAGGCAATATAAAATTCACCAAATTTTATATCTAGGGCCTTTAACTACTTCTCTAAGGCCAAATGACTAATGTAGATCCGAAAACGTATACATTTTACCAATACTTGCACCAAGAAATCTGTGAACTAAAATTAGAAATAAAAAGCAGAGGCCAGGCACAGTGGCTCACGCCTGTAATCCCAGCACTCTGGGAGGCCTAGGTGGATGGATTGCCTGAGCTCAAGAGTTTAAGACCAGTCTGAGCCAGAGAGAGACCTCATTTCTGAAATAGCAGGGTATTGTGGTAGGCACCTATAGTCCCAGCTACTTGGGAGGCTGAGGCAAGAGAATCACTTAAGCCCAAGAGTTTGAGGTTGCTGTAAGCTGTGATGCCACAGCACTCTACTGGGGACGACAAAGTAAGACTCTGTCTCAAGAAAAAAAAAAGAAAAGCAGATTATTTTACTGAATTTTGTGTGTGAAACATCCCCTTTTATTGTCACAGTAGTCCTATCCAATTGTAGATTCCCATAAGCAGTCACCATGTATCTACTACAAGCTGCAGCCAAAGCTTACAGACACCAACATGCAGGTACAAAGCTCATCACACTCACAAGCATCTAGTTACGGCCTACAGAGGAAGCCTCGGATTAAGCCCCAGAGAGACATGATCTCAAAGCATATCCAGGTGAACTGATTAATATTCTGTTCTTGCATGCATTTCTCCTCAACTGTAGTATAATATGTCTGTATTTCACTCCTTGAAGAAATATAAAATGATATATATGTTCGCTGTAAATGAGGATAGCCTCGTAACAGAATTTCATTGAATTATACGTGCAACAATGCAATTTTTTGACTACTATATCTCAGAAAACATTTTGAACACAAATGCATGTTCAAACAGAACAAATGCAATGCCATCAAAATACAAAGCAAGAGACAGTATAAGTACTGAATATCAATTATATTTTTAAAATAGTTATGTTTACTTATGGCATCAGAGCGTGGCAGAAGAAAAATATTTTGTTTAAATAGATTAATGAGTTTAAGAAAGGTTTTGAACAGCTACAGGGAAAGAATAAAAGCAATACAGCAAAACATACAAAATAACTGATAAGTCTATTTTTAAACAGGAAAAACTAAACCCCCTAAAGAGAAAGCTGTTAATTGTGCTACTGAGGACTTAACTATGGATCACACCTTGTCATTTTCTCTTTTTTTTGACAATCGGCTATATCTGTTAATTGCAGCATCATGATCTAGAAAACAGAAAGGAATGTTAACAATAATACAACACTACTTTGCAAAACTTACAAATGCTTTAATGGTTCTCAACCTTCCTAATGCTGCAACCCTTTAATACAGTTCCTCATGTTGTGGTGACTCCCTACCATAAAATTATTTTTGTTGCTACTTCATAACTGTCATTTTTCTACTGTTATGAATCGTAATGTAAGTATCTGATATGCAGGAGACCCCAAAAGGAGTGACCCATAGGTTGAGAACCACTGCTTTAAATGGTCTTCACATGTGCATATTTCTGCAAATATACTAAAGCAAGATAAGAATTCCCTACAACTACATGATTATGACACTTAAATTTTCTCCACAGCCAGGTTTCTCCTAATTATGTATCTACTTACTAAATTGGTTTTTAAAACATTGGTTAAAAAAATTTAAGAAAACTTTACCCCATTAAAAGTTTTTTAAAGTTTTTTTTAGTAAAAAATAGCAAATACAGCTAGCATGCTGATATGCCTATATAGTCCCAACTATTCAAGAGGCTAAGAAAGGAAGACAGGAGGCTTGAGCTCAAGATTTCAAGATCATAGTGAGCTATGATTGCACCTGTGAATAGCCTCTGCATGCGAGCCTGGGCAACACAGTGAGAGCTTGTCTCTTAAAAAAATAAAAATAGGCTCGGCGCCTATAGCTCAACCGGCTAAGGCGCCAGCCACGTACACCTAAGGTGGTGGGTTCGAATCCCCAGCCCGGACCCGCCAAACAA